GGAAGTGTCCTGACCCAACACAGAGACTTCTCCTACAAGTAGCCTGCGGTTGGCAGTGCCACAACGTCCAAGCACCATGCCAAGCTTTGGGCTGGCATCTCTTTCAAATGAAAAGGTCTTGCAAGCTTCCAGCCAAAGCACAAAGGAAAAAAAAAAAAAAAGAAAAAGAAAAAGAAAAAGTCTATTAAGAGGTGTTCTGGATTCAAAATCCAGAGTCCTTCATTGTATGCCATTGGTGGGGTGAGTGATGCCAACATAGGGATGTCACCTTTCATTGTATGGCAGCACATGCCAATGGGGACAACAGATATGATTTACCACGTATAAAGGTTATAACTTCTGTAGATTTCCTTACTGCTGCCCTAGCAAGCTGCTGATCTTGAAAGACAAAAAACAGTGCAGAAACCAAGAGAATCTGCTGCTGTTGTCCATGGCTGTAGCTGGAGTGCCCCCAAATTACAGCAGCTGAGCCCTATGGTTTGCTGTGCTCCAAGAGATAAATCACTATGTTGACCTCATGGATCCAACAGTGAGGTGGGACCATCTGCATCCGTCCTCAGTGCCACAGTACACACCAGATCAGATGCTTATTTTGCTGGGCTTGGGGCAGCAAGCAGTGGGGCATTGGGTCTGTCCGATGGGCTGAAAGTCAGTGCTCTGTACCTGGAAATAAAACCCAAACTGAATGCAGGAAACACATGAATCAGCTAATTATTCCTCTCCCCACAGCCCCTGTGCATAGTTTGGTGTCTGAGTTGGGGTTTTTTGCTTTTTCTCCAAAGCAGCTGGAGATGGGATGTTGAACATGGTGTGTTATTGCTCTTAACGGTATTAAAGAAAAACAACTCAAGTGTTCATTGGCATGTTTTGATTATACGTGAGGGCAAAATGAGTGCCAGATTTGAAATGAGAGAGGCTTTTTCCTCCAGTTCATATCATCAGAGTTTGCAGGGGGAGCAAAGTAGGGAAACAAGACACTGGGGTTGGCAGGGGCACTGGGTATCGTGTCCCTCTTAGAATTAATTTGGCATTTTCACTGCACAAATTCCTGCTGTGGAAGACTGGAGTCCTTGGTGGTTCCTTTTCTCTCTTCCTTTGGTGTTCCTATTTGTGGCTTTAATTATTTGTACTAAAAGCCTTAAGCTCGTTATGGCATTTTGTGAAGTGTTTTTGTGGCTTGTGTTGAGTGAGTGTGTGCAGAGCAGTTGTTCCCTGGACCACTTTGGATTTAATGTTTGTCATACGATTGCCTGTGATTTCATGACCTCTATGGCTGAAGTGAGCCCTGTGCTGTTTTTTTTATGTATGTGCAATTTAGCTTTTAATTAAGGCCTTGTTACCAAGGGAATTGCAGCTCAGTTGGCTCACATGCCTCAAGGTTCTCCTGGCTTGATGCTGGAGAAAGGTAGCCCATATTTGGAAATGCTCAGCTTGTTTCTCTTGTTCCAGCCATCCAAACTGTTTGAATTAATCTTCAGCCTCCTTTTCCAATGTTTACTGAAGAACAGCATTTTTATTTTATTTTTTTTTTAACACTCCTTTTTATCACATAGTGTGATCAGCCGAGCCCAGACAATGTGCCTTCACGCTGTGGTCTGGTGCTCATTTAGCAGTCTACAAAGTCCTAACGAAGTGCAGATGAGCTGGGGAAGAGCCTCCCTCTGGCTGAGTCCTCACTGCAGCATTGCAGACCAACGTGGTTCTGCTGGCACTGGTTGGTGGGATGATTTGGTCCTGAGAGGTTTTATGTACTTCTGTCAACCTCATAGACAAGCAAACTGGCCTGTATTTTTATTTCTCTTCCTCTTCTCTCCTAGTTTTCTATGCTAACAAGGTTCGTCCTTCTGTTTGGCTCCCAAAACTTATATTATTCACAGATCTAAGGTCTTCCTTTTTCAAGTAAAGAAGCAATTTCTGTAGCTCTGTTTTTAGGTGCTCAGGCTGTACCACGTACCTAGGACTGATTTTTCAGAGCTGACTCCCTTCTCACGCTTGTGTCCTCTCTCAGCTGTCTCTAAGATACCCATAGATTTTGGGAGCTTTAACAGACACCTGCCTCCAGATTAATGCCAGACAACCAGAGCAGATAGGTACCAGACCTCCATTCTGCCACTTTGAATAGATCTGGTCCCCCCACCTTCCCCTCCCTCCCCCCCACACTTCCCCCATGCCCCTCCTCGAAGCAGGGACCATAAATTTACTTGGCAGCAAGTTCCTGAGATGCCACCAGGCTCAGCTGCCTTTCTAAAGTAACCTGAAAAAGATTACTGCTGCTAACAGGTTTTCACACATCTGTTTTGGAGAGGTTTAACAGAAGGTGAACTTGAGCTGTGTTTTAAGGCAGTCGCTTGGGATATAATACTGGATAATCATATGCTGTGCCTATGGGTAATTAATAGAGGTGGCTCAAACATCAGTACTTCAGAACCAAGCCAAGTCTGAAGAACCATTAATTCTTGAGAAGCTTATAGCCAGTGCTTTTGTTTTTGAAATGTGTGGTTTTTCTTTTTGAAATCAGGATGCAGATTTGAGCTCAGATTTTGCATGTTTTAAAAGTTCCTTTTATGTTAGGTGCATTCCAGGATCTCCATCCCAGTCCAGTTTTAATGACTCTGTGTTTTCCTCTTGGGGAACACTTCTTATTGCTGCCTTTGTTTCAAAACTATCAGTTTCCCCTTCAGGTTTTTCCAAGCCCAGTAGTGAAATGTCAAGCTGGGTCATACAATAATTTTTAGGAATCATTCTGGAGTGTTTAGTATTCATATAGTGGCCAAACTCTGAGTTCAGTCAGTTTTAATCATCCTGCTGGAGCACAGTCAAGGTGAGAAGTTTGGCCTGGACCCTGTGGCCATCTGGCCACGGAGAAACCAGCTGCCTCCTGGGCTAGAAACGTCCTTCATCCATCATGATCAATCTCAATTTCTACAAACAAGCCCTCATTCTGAAGCTTACCTCCCCACGCACAGAAGACCACACTCTCCAAATATTATCATTGATGGTTTTTTAGGTTTTGCATGGAGAAAACTTAAGTCAACACCTTGGAATCAACCATAAGTAGATTACCAGGCCAACTTCCACATCCTTGGTGGTACCTCCTGGGAGAGAAGGTGCCTGGAGATCATTTGACCCAACGTGTGTAGAAAGGCATTCGTGAAGGCACAGGATCTTCCTAAAGGAAAGGCAGATGAGCAACATTTAAAGAACTGCTCTCAATGACACAGGAGTCTTCTCCTGATGTTGACTTCTCTGTTGCTTTCTAATTGAGGAAAATAGACACTTGCAATGCAGTAACTGCATCCCACTAAGTCCAGATGCCTCAGGTAGGTCAGATAAATCATGCTTTGGCCACTTATTTCTCTCCACTCGTGCCAAAGGGAGTCTAGACCAGTAGCTCTAGTGTAGACATCAACCCTGGAGACATACAACATCCAGGGAGATGTGAATCTCAGCTGGTTTGTCTCTGCCTTTAAGCCTGAATCTGAGAAAAAAAAGAAAGCCAGGCTGCAGGCAAACACAATGGTAAGAAACACAAAACAAAATGCTGAAAAAGAGAAAAGCTATGAGATGGCCAACAGTTCTGGGAAGGTAAGGGCATCTATCTGAAAATGAAACAGCACAATGAGAGAGCAGGAGAGAAAAAGACAGCGTTGGACCAGTGCAGGAAGATGAAAATTTCTTTTCAACACTGAAAGTAACAGTTTCTAAATTCCACCTTCTCCGTCCCTCCCAAAATGTAAATTCTAGTGGTTACCCCTGTAAAAATCTGGAGCAGTTCTGTGGTAGTAAGTAGCAGATTCTTGGCTACTGGAGCTTCAGTGCAGCAGATGGTTTTTTTGGAAAGTGACACTTGCAGGGCCCAGCTGGTAACCACAGCTGAGATCTCCCTATCAGAGATCTTAGGAGTCAACTGCTGCATCGGCTTTGATTGCACTGGAAACAGCAGCTGGGCTGCTGGAGATCGCACCCAGGTGCAGTGTGAGGAGGTACAGATGGGCCAATGGCTGACCCACTTCAGGCAGTGCCCCACCAGAAATGTCTGCATTAACTATGACACTGCCAGAGTGTTCAGCAAATACTATTTCTTTTATGGGTGATCTGTTAAAAAAGAATTCCTTCCTTAGGCTCAGGTAGTAGTTAGGTCCATTCTGGAACAAAGCGATCGCCTCATTCTGGCCCTGCCCGAGGCACCTTGCTGCTGAAAGGCCATTCTGCTGCCAGCATGCTGCAAAGCCAGGCCAGGAATAGGCATTCCAGCAGGAAATGTTGGCATCTAGAAACAGATCCCTCCCAAAAAACATGAGTAATTTGAAATATTAGAAGATCTTACTGAATAAAAGGGTGGAAGAATGCCTCCACTTACAAGAGTCAAAATGAAAATCAGTCAGTAACAGCACATGGGGAACTCTGCTGCTGCTGTTATTGAAATCTACATGCTCCCCAAAAATGTTGAAGAAGTGGCATCACTTCTTGCACCAAGTCTCTGGGTGCTTGATAGTAAGTGAAGATTTTCCAGATGTTTTCAGTGTCAAACAGTGGCTGTGTCTCAACTTTCCCCAAGAGCAAGAAAATACAACTTTCTTCCTACCATCTGATCTGAATGTTATTTAAGCCTCCTTTCCAATAGTTTTTGTGTCCTCAAACTTTGTCTCTAAAACTTACTTTTTGCGCCCATGCCATATGCACACCCACCTGGATGTGTTATGTGCTATGTTATGTTTTATGCTGTGTTAAGTGCTATGCACACACACCTAACCATGATGTGTTATAAGTAGAGATAGCTGTGGATTTTCCATCCTGTCAATTTCCAACTGAAAAAAAAAAAAAAAGTACATTCAAAAACATCAAATTTTGCTGTGGAAAAACAGAAGTCCTTTTTCTCTGTTTGAACAGCCTCAAAATAAAGCCGTTATGGTAAAATTGAAATATTTTCTTAGGGAATCAATTGTAATCAGGGCGTACGTATTGTACAAAATAAATATTTTGGTTTTTTGTTGTTTCAGTCAAGTGTCAACCAGTTGGTGCCCGTTGGTAAAACGATCAGTTCTGAAAGTCAAGAGATACAGGTCGTCCTCCCAGCTCCATGGTGGTTGGATTCCATGATGTGGACGTGTAACTTCAGCTCCAGATGCCACGTTGTGTGCTGGGATGTGCACAGAAAGGGTGATCAGGCACTGGAGTGGACTGTCCAAGGAGCTGGTGGAGTTGCTGTCTCTGCAGGTATTCAAGAGCCGTGGGGATGTGGCACTGAGGGATGTGGGCAGTGGGGACATGTTACAGTTGGGCTTGGTGGTCTTAGAGGTCTCTTCCATGATTCTGAGCCTTTCCTATGATTCTGTGATCCATGGTAATACTGGTGTTTCAGAGATAAGATTCCATCTATCTGGGGTCTTGCTGTGACGTGGACCATTTGTTGATCCCTGTGTTTGTGCATTTGGTGCTCTTTAAAAATCATCTCTTTCACCTGGCTTTCTAGTTCTCCAGATGAACCCAGAGCCAGCAGAGATGTGCTACTACACAGAATGATAATGATAAAGACTTTGTGTCACTCCTTCCTCACCTCACTTCCTTGCAGGACTTAGACATCACACAAACAAACTCAAGAGTTACTTAGATTATTTAGTATCTTATCAAATAACTTAGCTGATTGATTTCTGTGTTTTTTCTCCCTAAATATATTTTTCTTTTTGCATTCAGGCATGCTGGAAAAGGAAAATGATCCATTCCATAATTCTAGGCTTATCTGTGATCCAGCTCTGAGCACCCTGAAAATTTGCCCCAGCTTCCTGAAACATCTGTAGTAGAGCAAGCATGCATCACAGCTGTTCTGTGGTGTTTAAAGGACAGAGGCACCTGAACTATTGCTCCCCTGCCATCAGTTTCCGATGAATGAAAACCATCTTGAAGACACAATGTTGCTGATCACCAAAAACAGGGCAGGATTGTTGCTTGTTTCCTATTCTCTAACAGGGGAGCACCAAAAATAGAAGCAGCTGCATCTTTCAATTGGGTGAGATTTGAATAATGTTGCTGTGATTTAAATAAAATGGGAAAGCTGGGTGCAGTGGGGGGCTTGATCGGACAAGTGCAAATGAGACCACATTTCAGCATCCTTTGGCAGATGTGATTCCAATTTCTCTGACCCTCTGCTCAAGAATATTTGAATCTGCAGTTTATTCTTATGAAGGCAGTGACACTGACACAAAGGATCTCAGCAGGCTGCTTGGAGAATGTCTCACAGCTGATGCTGGCAATGGACAGATGCAGCAGACCAGTGACTGCCAGATGATCTCAATGAGATTTTAAACCAAAAACAGAAGAGGGCTGTTTTTCTTTCTTATTTCCCCTACCTTTGGATGATTTTACTGGTTTTAATGAGTTTTGGACTCTGGAAAATTCTACCAGTTTCAGTAAGTTTTCTTCAAGTTTCTTACTACCAGCCATTCAGAAACACCCGTCAGCTGTACTTTTTGAGAATTATATGTATCTCTTGCAATATAGCAGAGACTATCCCCAAATTCAGTTCCTTCTGTGATGCTGTCTCCCATTGTTCTTGCCTGTGAGAATGAACCTGCAGGTGTTCCTTAGCACAGGTGTTGAACCAGTGCACAGCAAAGCTGGTAATTAGGAGGATTCTTTGAAACAGCCAACAGAAAGCAATTTCTGCATGTGAAAAGGATGAATGAAACCATCACAGTAATTTAGGTCTGGCAGTACCTCTACACATATGAGGTCCTGATGTAGGACGGAGCTGAGGCCGATGCAGGATCACCATTGGTGCTGTGCTTCAAATGAAGCAACTGTGGTCCTGCAGGGATGCAGGCTGCGGTCCTGTTGCGGTGCTGGAATGCATTTGTTCCCCCATTTCTGCTCAGCACTGGCTGGAAGGTTTTGGAGGATGTCTCTGTCTCTGCTACCAGCCCATGATGTTCTCAGGTATTGCACCTCTGCTACACCCACCCTCCCCTCCCTCTGAGTGGGTCCCAGGGCTTCCTGGGGGGCCGGCCCTTTGCTCTTGCATCCTTCACATCCTCGAGCTCATTTGTCACGTTCCCCCATTTACCCATCTCACTGTGATGCATATTTACTAATTCTAACATTTCCTCGTTAGTCATTCCCTCCAGGCCCATTAGTCACTACAAATTCCCAAACGAAAGGCCGCGGTGCATCGTTCCTTCCAACAGACAGCTGACACGTAGTAATTAGGCAGCTGAACATAAAAATAATGAGGCTGAGGCTCCTGCAGATCTCCGTCCCCCCTCTTGGCACCTGGGAAGCTTCACACACAGCCCCAGCAGCCACCACTGCACAAGCTGCTCCCTGCACAGACGTGCCTCTTTCTCTCTTTCTCTCTCAAAACTTGCTATCTGATCCATTGAAGGGCTGCTCAAGCATTTAGTTTCATGACTTCTGGCAATGTTTTCCAACCAAGGCACTGAATTATGGAGCCTCCCTTTCTCGGTATCACGCAGGGACTGGTCCAGCTCCTCCCTACCTCCAGGGCATCCTTGTGCCAAGATGCCCTGCCAGTTTGCTGCAGACTCTCTAACTCAGAGCTCACTCTTGGAGATGATGCATTTTTTCACAATAGATTTACACACCAAAATAAACAGAATGATTCAGAATGGTTAGACTGTCGTATGCAATGCAAAGTGTTATGAGACCAAAAGGCTGTTTGTGTCCATCCCAATTATCCTGTTTTCTTGTATTCATCCTCTTTCTCTCTCTTCTGCACTGCTGGAAAACCATTCAGTTGCTTTTATTCTTTTTTTTTTTCTTTTTTTTTTTCCTTTCTCTTATTTTTTTCCTTTTTTACTTTCTTCTTTCCCCCCCCCCCCCCCCCCCTTCTTTTCTTTCTTTTTTTCCTTCTCTTTTTCTTCCTCTTTCTTTCTCTTTCTCTCTTTCTTTTTTCTTTCTCTTTTCCTTTTACTTTTTCTTGGCTTCTGTGGCACTCACTTTCCATTGCCACAGAAATACCCTGGAAACCAAGTGCCCATGCACACATCCAGTCCAAATTGCAGTGTCTGGCATCGCTGGAGTCACTGGCAGGTAGGAAGAAACTTCCCCTGCAGCTCCTTTTTTCCCCTTCTGAAGCAATGTGTCTGGGCTGCATTTGGCTTAAACAGGCCCTTGATCTGCTTTGTTTATGGTAATTTCTTTATTCCTGTGAGAGAGAGAGGGAAGCCAGCACTGAACGGATATTGTTGTGGGACTGCAGATGGGCAGATGGCTTGAAAAAATGATTGCAAGATTTCGCTTGCACTCTGGGCCCGTCTTTCACATTTGGGTGCAGAGACCAAGTTTGTCTTCTGTCACACGAAGCCTCGATTAGTTTCCCTAAAACCAGAAACCACTTTGGAAGCAAATCCCCGAGGTCACCGGTGCCACAGATTTGGAGGTGAAGGATTTGAGGTTAAGAGCTGACAACCAGGATGGCGAGGCAAGATTATGGAAATGAGGATCTGCAGCAAATTCTCTCTTGTTTCCCCCTTGTAACCTGCTAATGACATTAGCGTCCGTCTTTGACAGCCCCTCCTCACAGGGGAACTTACTTCAGCACTAAAGACGCTTTTATGAGTCCCAGAGATACGGCAGAAAAACATGTGGGCAAAGCTGCTAAGACCCAGATATGGGATAGAGTCCTTAAAAGCCCAGCATTGACTTAAAGGACCCGAAGTGAGGAGTGGAGCACTTCTCTCCTCTCTTACAGCTGCGAAGCTGCAATCAGATGGATTAAAGCCCCCCCACCCATTAACACTGCTTTCCCAGCTCAAGCTGCTCATCGATCAGACATCTCCCCTCTTTTTCTCAGGGTGTTCCCCGCCATAACTTCAAGGACAACTGCCCAAGGACAGACATTATTAGAAGTGAAATGGCTCCCCATGAAGTTGGTGGACTCACGCTGTAGGACTCACACTCCTGCCCTCGTCTGCAGGACTTTTCTGCTGGTGTCGGTGAGCTCAGATCCATTCCTCTCCTCCAGTGAGGTGGCAAAAAGCAGGGTGATCTTCTTCCTTTTCTACCCAGTAATAGTTGATGAAATGCTGTCAGTTATTTTTTAATCTTGAAGTGAGTAGTGTCCTGTAAGTACAATGAACCATCCGTGCGGATAGAGGCATTAAGTATGGAAAAACAATGAACGTGGCTGTTTGAGAAGCACCTTACTCACCTATCTAAAACACTTGCCATTCTATTGATCTCAGATGTATGAATTTGTGGCCTTGTTATGAATATTCTGATGCCTCAGCTCTCTAGCATTGAAGCATTCATTGAAAGTAGCTATAGCTTTACAAATAGAATTTTTTTTTCAGAAATAGAATTTTTCCATCTGTTTGTTCCATTTTCCCATCTGTTCCTCCAGCCTCATAGTCTTGTTCAACCTGTTTACGAAGATTTCCTTTGAGTGAATATACATATTTTTCCATTCCAGGACAATTGTTTCTTTCACTGTGGTCTGACTTGTTCTTACATTGCCTCTGTGTGCTTTTGCCACTGACCTATTTAGCCTTCCAATACACATTTTAATCCCTTGATGTGAACATATGCCTTGAGGCCATGAGGATTTATGGTTGGATATATGGAGATCACTGGTGGCCCTTCGGTCAAAACCTGGTGAGAAACCTGGGATGCTCCATGGATGGCATTAGGTTTTTTACCTTGGTGCCACAGGCATGGGTGACAGCAGGGCACTTCCAGTTGTACTGCTGTTGGCCAACATGGTGAGTGAATGTATGCACCTAAGGTTTTTTGCAAAAGTGGACACTTTGCTAGCAGAATAAGCACGGCAGCACGCACCCTGCTGCAGTGGCTGCTCTTCACAACGACTCCTTTCGATCACCAGCATTTTCTCCAAATGTACTTGTCCTGCGTGCCCCAGGTGTTGCTCATCTTTGAAAGTTATCACGCAATGCAGAAACACTAGGACCGTGTGATAAGCAGCAGATAAATACAAAGTGAAGAATAAATTGCCACCAAACAAATTCTTCTCATTGTTGGTTGCCACTGAAGATGGTCTCACGATTCTTCCCAAGAGCTCCATTACTGAGAAAGCTGTGCTAGCTTCTGGGTGGCACCCAAGGCAGTTCCCAGCCCATGTTTATAGAATCAAATAATTATTCGAGTTGGGAGGGACCTTAAAAGCCATCTGTTCCAACTCCCCTGCAGCAAATAGGGAAACTTACAGCTCCATCGGGTGCTCAGAGCCCCTTCCAGCCTGACCTTGGGTGCTTGCAGACACAGAGCCCTTAAATGGGAGGAGTTCTCAGGAACATCCAGGCAGTGTTTTATTGCAGCTCAATCAGAAGGTGCACTGCGTTTGTCTCTCTGTGTGTCTGAGAGGCGCAGGGAAGCTCTCCTCGAGGAGTTGTCGTTTCTGCCGCACGGAGCACAGATTTGCATCTCTCCAGGCCACCCAAAAAGGGATCTTTGATTTGTCAAAATAACCCTTTCTGCAGGGGAATGGAGAGCTTGGAGGATATCCAAAAATGTGCTAATCTACACTTCTTAAATTTCTCTTTTTATGTAAAGGAGGCGGGGGGGGGGGAAGAACTAATAATAAGCTTGTAAATCATGTGGTTAAGTTTAAAGAAAAATGCTTTGGGAAACTTTTCCAGTCTTCTGCAAGAAATTTTGCTTTTATTCCTTCTGTCTCCACAAGACTTTTGCCTTCTACCGTTTGCCAGCAGCAGGAAGATTGGAAAAATTCTACTGATCCTGTTATCATAAGCAATAACTGCGGAGTGCTTTTATTGTTATCCTCCTCCAGAAAGAGCGAGGTCAAACCCTCTGTTTAGCTGAACACAAACTTCTCTCGTGCTCCAGATGTGCTAAGCAGAAGAGCTATGTGTAAACAGAGGGTTTTTTTCTTATTCAAGAAGAAGTTGAGTGCTTCCTTGTGTGTCCATGAGACCTTGCAGACTTCTGGACTCCACCTTCCAGATAAAAGGTCTCAGAAAAAGACTTTGGTGCAAAGGAGATTGCAATTCCTGCTCGCCTTCAGGAGGACTTCCCTCAGAAGGACTCAGACCAAGCACTGGCCTTCCTGCCCAGATGCAGCCATCTACTTCTTTTAAAGGTTTATATTGAACAGCATCCTGCTCAGGCATGTATGATGGAGGCAGCAGCCTTCACAGCAGCCCCTACTCTTTGTCTTACCATGTCCTTTTGGACACTTGGGGCTAAGCACAGATAAGCTGCACATTTCCTTCCACGGACAACTGCTCGGTTCTTGAGCTCTTGGGTACCAGAAGCCAGTCCTGCCTGTTTCATAGCAAGCTCATATAATAACGAACTTTAAATAGTTTGATAAAAAGGTTATCCATCAGCAATATGAGTTGTTTTAGTTCTCTTTGTTCACAGAAAACAAAGGCTTTCTGATCACAAGTAAATCCCCCCATGAGCATTACCTTTAACCAAAGAAAAGCTTTCTAAAGAAGAACATTATCCCTTTGGGTAATGATGCACTCCCCCATGCTCATGGTACGAGGCATTCCTCTCCTTCACTTTGTTACTTTCTGCAGCTCAGCTTCCATACGCCGCTGCTGATGTGCAGTGCCAATGCTGTTGGTGATGAATTTCTTGCAGAGCTGACTTGAGCAATGTCTCTCTGAAGTAATCATTTTTTTTTCTCCCCAGCGTTTAGCTGAGCACAGAGTCTCCAAGACCTTTCATCGAGCATCCATCAGCAACGAGTTCAAGCTAAGCAAGAAACTGCCCTGTTCCAGAGGCTAAGCAAACCATGTGCCTACGTTGTAACTAATTATTTGTATTGGCTGATTGCTTTTTAATGTGTCTGTTTTACAGGTAAACAGATTTATCTTAGAAATGCAAACATCATAATGATGTTGGGTTTTACTCATTGCCTTCCTTCAGAGTTGGAAAGGCTGAACACTGAAATTGGTGTGATTTAACCTTTTATAGAATTCAGCTGATTTTCATACCTGTGCATCATTATGTCCCAAGTTGCTGGGAAAGATGAGGAAAGCCTGAAAACAATTGTGATGATACCACCCAGCCCCCAGCTCTTCATGAACACCCCCCATTTAAAGTGGAACATTTTCTAACTGGTGAGTTAGAGGGGAAGTGGTTTCTGGAGACCACTGTGTAGACTGCCGTTCAGAGTTTTAAAGAACATCAGCCATCAGAACATCAGGCTGAATGGGCTCTGAGCACCTGCTGGAATGGTTGGTGTTCCTGTTCATTGCAGGGGTGTTGGACAAGATAGCATTTAGAGGTCCCTTCCAACTCTAATGATACCCAGAGGGTAAGGAGATCCAAAAGCTTCGACCTCCCAAAGCTCATGACTAAAACTGCAAAGAGTGGGTGAAGGCATAAAGAGAGACAGTAAAGCACAGCTTTGTGGTTCTGAGAACGCTCTCAGGCTAACAAAATAAAGAAAGGGAAGAAACTCATCAAATTAAAATTCTTCAATGTAGATGTCACACATATGCTGATTGTGAACCCCTACCTCTATGGGCTGGGGGCACAGCCTGGGTGGTGTCTTCACCCCAAGGTACTCCTGCATCTCTTTTACCTTTATTTCTAAAGAAAAGCGGATCTAGAAAATCTCAGGATGGAGATACTCAGGACTGACAGCAGTTGCCTTCCTTTTACCATATGGCCAGACCTGGAGACCCAAACCAGCCATCAGTTTCTCAGCACATCCCAGCCTTGCCCATAGTGACACTTTAGGTTCCCATTCCCATCAGGAGGGCCCCTC